GTTTGGACTTATTGTACAAACCGATTTAATATACACTATTTTAACATAATATTATGGATAGAGTTTAATTAAGTGTTTGAAATGTTCATTTAACTATTTTTAAATGAATGTCTATATTGCCATGAAGCAATTAGGATTTTCTTGCCCGGTGACCTAAAAAATGGCCGACTTGGATGTGGGCGGAGTCTGATATGTACTTGATTAATGGTAGCATGTTATTATTAGCCGCAGCTAGCAAGGCTAACGTCTTGTTAATGATCATAAACAACGTAAATAAATAAATCAGAGAGAATGGGGGGGGTGGGGGTATCGTATCCGGATACAACATTTTAGTATCGATACTTTTTCGAGTATCGATACTTTTGACAACCTTAGACCTGAGCTCCCGACGGACTGAGCCCAGAGGCTGGAGACCTGACGGCTGCGCTCTGCCCCCCCCCCCTGCAGGTGCTGATGGTCCGGTTCGCCTCCCTGTTCAACATGGCCGAGCGGACGGTCACCTTCCTGAGCGGCCAGCGCTACAGCCTGGACACGCTGCGCTCGCTGGGCGCCGGCGAGCTGCTCACCTCCATGTGCGAGTTCAGCGAGAAGCTGGCCACTCTGCGCCTGGACGCCGACGAGATGAGCCTCTTCACCGCCGTGGTGCTCGTCTCCGCCGGTAAGAACGCCCCCAGAGCGCCATACAGGCCGCCATCCACTTGTTTAAAAAAAAAAGTTAGCTAGGGTAGTCAAGGTACTAAAATTTTCAACCCGATACCGATACTCAGGAAAATATGCGATACCATTTTCGATACCACAAGAATAAAAACAAAGACCCCAAAATTTTACTTAATTTTGACAGGTTAGTGTCTTTGGTTTCAAACTGACCTGTTACTGATGTTGTGGTGGCCAGTGGCCCACATAAGTGACCCTAATCCTAACCCTCCACCCTTCATAATTGTGAGAAATAAATATTTTTTTTGGTTAAACTTGTTTGGACTTATTGTACAAACCTATTTAACCTACACTATTTAAAAAATTATATTATCTATAGAGTTTAATTCGGTGTTTGCAAGATTATTTTCACTATTTTTGAATTAATGTCTATATTGCCATGAAGCAATTAGGATTTTCTTGCCTGGGATCTTCCTATTGGTGACCTAATCAAAATGGCCGACTTGGATGTGGGGGAGTTGGTTATCCGTCCTCGGCTTCCTGCATTCTGCAGCCAGATGGACTTGATTAATGTTGGCGTGTTATTGTTAGCCATTAGCCGCAGCTATCAATTCAATGCTAATGTCATGTTAATAATCATAAACAACGTAAATAAATAAATCAGAGAGAAGGTGGTATCGATACTTTTGAATATGAGTATCGTATCCGGTTACAACGTTTTAGTATCGATACTTTTTTTGAGTATTGTGGTGCTCGTCTGGTGCTGGTCTCAACCGCCCCCCCCCCTCCCCCCGCCCCCCCCAGACCGCTCGGGGCTGCAGGACCTGAACGCGGTGGAGGCGCTGCAGGACCGGCTGATCCGGGCGCTGCGTAACCTGGTGATGCAGAACCACGGCGAGGACTCGGCCACCACCTTCACCAAGCTGCTGCTCAAGCTCCCCGAGCTGCGCTCGCTCAACAACATGCACTCCGAGGAGCTGCTGGCCTTCAAAGTGCACCCCTGAAGCCCCCCCC